AAACATACACAATACAGCACAATACTATTTATCTTGATTAAAATTACAGAATCATTAAATAGCACATATTTTTCTAGAATATATAGAAACAAAAAGGGTTGTGTAATGGGAGTGGGGAATACTAAGGAGAGTCAAGTCCAGTCAAGTCCAGTCAAATGTAATGAGGTTAAGGGAGGAGTGAGAAAGGCATGGAGTCAAAAGACTAGAGGAGGGAGAGGAAGGGAAGGGTAAAGAAAATGAGGAATGAGGGGGAAGAAGAGAGGAAAGGAAAATAGAAAAGAGAAGAAAATATTACTTATGTGTTATGACTTCTAGTAGTTTACTAACAGCCTTCTTTACCTGAGGTCTAAAACATAAAAAACCACAACAACAACAAATATTTAATGAAGCAGTTATGGTAAATATGTATAGGTCATGATACTTTGTTGTCATATTTGTTTAAATATATATGTTCTAAAGTTCAAATGAGCTTTTTCTCCCCTTTAGTTTCTGTCATGCTGACATAAAAATATGATTTCCCTACACAGCCTACTAAAATTGGTGAGTATTCCTCTCTAATTTAAAATGTATTAAATGCTTCAATTGAGTAACCCATATGCAATCAAACTTTTGACGAAAAAGCAAAAATAAACTAAACTTGCTTATTTTTATAATGACAATTATTCAAAGAAATATACAATGATAATATCCTTATTATACCTATCACTCTTTTCAGAAGCTTTTGGCAAATTTCATGCATACAATGAGCTGTATATATCTTTATTTTCTTTCATTTATTATTTTTTGATATCCTTACATTTTATAATGCATTATACTACAACAATATGTAGAATCAAAGGGGGAAATAAAATAAAGGCTTTATTAATTGTCTTTCATTAAAAATAATTTTTACATATTTTACCTTAAATTGTGCATTTATATATATGAACTCCTGGAGTCATGGTGTAGTGTTACAGGTTAATAAGCTGGACTATAAGGTAGGTTAGAACCACAAGGTCAGTGGTTCAAGCTCACCAGCAGCTCCTCAGAATCCCTCTACAGGGTCACTATGAGTTAGAACTGATTCAATGTCACTTAACAACAACAATATGTACTAATACATACATAGATTACAATTTAACATGTAGATTTTTATCTATAAATGAATGCATTTGTTTAAAGCAGTCACCATGGAAAACTTTCACTCATTAAGAATTCGAAACATTGCTAACATAAATTTTGATAATCTTCTTTTAGAATTGTCCAAAAATTATTCTATGTACTAAATAGATACATTTACCATATTCGTTTATTTAGCCACATCTTGTTTTTTAAATTAAAAACACTTTAATACATAGATTGAGCTGTGCCCATTTCACAGAATTGACTATGAAGGATTTTCACCTGCTCAAATTCAATCTACTCCTAAAGAAAGCAAAGTTTATATTAAGACCAAATCTAAGGATTGTACAACAAGCTATCCAATCGAATGAATATTATTAACAACAACAACACCAAAAAAACTCTCAAAAAGCATATGATCTGCAATGAATATCTGAATGGATACTTGCTAGCTGAGTAACTGAGTTATGTATGGTACATTAACAAAAACAAACACACCAAAAAGAGTACACTATTTTAAAGTTACACATCATAGCCACAATTGTAATTGTTGCTGCACTAAAAATTTTTCATGGCAAAAATTACACCAAAAATAATTATATGAAGATAGTTACTTGCTTGCTGGGATGATTTTTAAATAAAGGCTTAAAAAGCCTCTTCCAAAAAAAAAAAATAACTTCCAACACTTCTCAAACCTTAAAAATTCAATAATTGTAAAGTTTAACTTTCTTATCTGTTATCAGTTCAGTCATTATATTACAATGGAGGAATATGCAGATGCGAATGCACTAACTTAAACAAAGGAATTGATGACAACAGCTTTAGAACTAGGCTTCCACATATCAGAATTGTGTTAGCAGGACTTGATTTTTCTGTTTGCCTTATGACTCTTATTATTATTATTTTTTCTTTCAATAAAGAGAGGCACTGAAAGAAGGGTCTTTTTTCTTTGCTACTATCTCTAGACAAGAAAGAGGATTTAGTGTTGCAGTCAGATAATTCAGAATCTCTTCATCTCATTTTAAGCCAAAAACGAGTGAACTAAAGATGTAAGATTAACAGAAAACAGCAGAGGGCAGTGTTTACTCATGCTTTAAACATGTAGGGGTGTAGAAAAGTTTTAAAATTGGATGGGTCATTGTGGCAGAAATGTATGACATATGCCCTGCATTTTGTATTGTTTGGCTCAAATTCTTATTTTCTACATTGCTTCACTTAAAGGTAGAAAAAAAAGCCCTGATTCTTAGTCTTTCTTTTTTTTTTTTTTTTTCCTATTAAAGAAGCAACGTATACGCACAAAAATTAGCTGCAGTGAATGAATAGCAGGGAAATGAATCTGATCTCAAAACGTGGCTCATGTTTTTTGTTTTTTTGTTTTTTTTAGAATTTAAATTTGTATTTCTTTATTTCAGTGTGTCTTAACACCAGCGTTTCATCCAGACAGAAAAAACCAAAACTTTGTTAGGATTCCTTTGGCTACAAAATGTAGAGGTGGTGAAATAACTCCATCGGGAATCGAAATTCCAAAGTAACTGCAACAGGAAAAGATCTTTCTCGCTCCAAAGGGCTTTCATTGTTATTGTTGTTGAAACCCTAAGGTTCAGCTACTGGTACTTGGGATCCAGTTAGGAAGGAAAACTAAACAAAACAGAGTTCCCTGGCTTTTTCCTAAAGGAAATAGATAGCGCGCTTGATACCGAGCCCTGGGAATCTGGAGTCACCTGGAAGGTGGGGGAGGGACAAAGTGGTGTAGATTTAGGACTGAGCCAGACTAGGATGGCCAGAAATCCGCTTGGTGGACAGAAAAGGAATGCCGGGGACCTCAGTTTAGATTCTGTCTGATCACACAATGCAGTATCTCCCTCTCCTCCCTTCGTAAGAAAGGGGGAAGGAAATGGTTAAAGCAAATCTGCGCCATGCATTCCCAGACAGGCTTTGCTTAATCCTTCCTCCCCGCTTTAACAGACCCCTACCCCCCGCCTTCCTTTCTTTTGTAGCTCTCGACCCCCTTACCCCTGAGTTATTACTAGCATAACAACCTAACGGTCTTACTCCAGACCCCGCCACCAAAGTTATTTATCTGCAAACGTGACCCCACCCCCATCTATTCTGCGGCAGCCTTTTGCTGTTATTGCTCAGACGCCGGCCAAGATTTGACCAAAAAAAAAAAAAAAAAAAAAAAAAAAGGAAAGGAAAAGAAAGGAGAAAAAAATATCAGCCCCCTTCAGAGCGCCTCCGCCTCCTCGGGCTCCACCGGACCGCCTACAGCCCTCAGGGAGGCTGGAGTGATTAGCATCCAGAGAAGCCAGTTGGAGGCGGGGAAAGCTGGAGGGAGCTCCGGGTAGGAGTGACAGGCGGGGCCGCTTCAGTTCTGGCCCAATGGGGCTGAGGCGAGGGAGGGGCAGTAGGTGACAGGACCAGGAGCTAGGAGGAGTCGGGGCGAACTAAAGTGCGGGGATCAATGAGTAGCGAGCAAAGTTTCTGAGTCCGGCTCCAGCTCGCGGTCTTCCCTCCCCCTCAGTTAGTGTATCGGTTACGCGCTATACGTGTGTATGTGTGTGCGTGTGTGTGCATGTGTGTGTGTATGCGCGCGCGCGCGCGTGCAGCAGGGAAGGGGCGGGGAGAGCGTAAGGGACTAGTCGGAGGATTTGAGGGTCTCCCTGAGCTCCAGTTCCAGCAGCAGGCAACCTTCAACGGGGACAGGCGAGAGGGAGAGCGCTGACAGGCGCCGTCCGGAGCTGCATCGGGCGCCGGCACAGCCCAACGCCGCCTGGCTCGCCTCCACCGCCAGCGGTGAAGGAGAAAGAAGAACAACCACCACCACCCCCACACCCCCGCCCCAAACAAAAAGCCTTGTGGATTACAAAGTGAAACTGACACTGGACAATAAAAGCAAAGACAACCAGGGCAGGGGCAAGGCTCACTTGACTGGGCTTCTGACTGGGACCGCTGGAGAAGGATCCCTTCCCACCCTGGCATGGTGAGGGGAGGGAACTGGGGACTGCACGCTGTTCTTGCCCGACCCTCGCGAGGCCAAGAAGAAAAGGGGATCTGCGCTCGCTTTGGATGTACAAATAATGGGTCGGCAGGCGCCCCGGCAGAGTTGAAACATGCCGAGGAGCGCCTGCTGTTGCCTGCGCCCCGCGACGGGCAGGAAGCCGCAGCAAGGGCGGCGGCGGCGGCGGTGGTGGAGAAGGGACGGAGCTGAGCGCTCCTGAGTGTCGGAGCCACGGTGATAACGCGAGCAGCTCTAACGCCGTTGGAGAGCTGCCGGTGTGCTGACGCCGCCGCCTGGGCCTCTGTAGCCACTGCCGAAGGCTTGTTGGAGGGGCGTTGCAGGCTTGTTCTTGACGAGTGCGAACTCGAGGAAACCTCTCTTCTCTAGCATTTTGGGAAAGGAATTCCATTCTCCAGTTCCCCACCACTCCTCTCTGTGCGCGGTTGTGCTTGCACACTTAGCTACCGGCTCCCCCCTCCCCCCCCCCCTTTCAGCGTCTTCGCGGTGGGTAAGTTTTAGAGTTTCTGAAGACAGTTGTTTGCAACTCCTCATATACCTTAAATACAGGCTTTATCTTCCAACTCACATTCACCTGGGCGAAAAAGTAATACTTTCTAGGTTCAAATTAAATCAAAGAGGGAATTATACAAGGTTTGAGAAACTTTCTGGGAACTCATCAACGTGCAGGAGTGCCGGGTGGAACGGTTTGCTGCTTTTCGCCTCTGCATCTCTTTCACTTCACGCGTTCCTTGTTGCGACTTGCTTTTACTGGACTGGAAATTTTTTTATAGAGAGCTCTCAGACCAAAACTTTGACTGATTTTTCCTTGTACTACTTAGTTCATATATTATTGTTTGCTTAATCTTTTCTGTTCCTCACATAGTTCATGGGAGCTAGGACCATGGACTTGGCAGCAAGGGCTCCTGGCCGTCCGTGGCTCTCTCTGCCCTGGATGTCAGCTTTTGAGTTCCTTCGCGTCTTTTGGTTGCTTTCACTGCTCCCGGGGCCCGCATGGGTCCGCGGGGCTGAGCAACGCCAGGTGTTCCAAGTGCTAGAAGAGCAACCTCCCGGCACGCTGGTAGGCACCATTCAGACGCGCCAGGGCTTCACCTATCGCCTTAGCGAAAGCCACGCCCTGTTTGCCATCAACAGTAGCACCGGAGCCCTGTATACCACTGCCACCATCGACCGAGAGAGCCTGCCCAGCGACGTGATCAACTTGGTAGTCCTATCTAGCGCGCCCACCTACCCCACTGAAGTGCGAGTTCTGGTGCGGGACCTCAATGACAACGCCCCTGTCTTCCCGGACCCTTCGATTGTGGTCACTTTCAAGGAGGACAGTAGCAGCGGGCGCCAAGTCATATTGGATACAGCCACTGACTCCGACATCGGTTCCAACGGTGTGGACCATCGCTCTTACCGGATCATCCGGGGCAACGAAGCAGGTCGCTTCCGTCTGGACATCACCCTGAACCCGAGCGGCGAGGGTGCGTTCCTGCATCTTGTATCCAAGGGCGGGCTGGACAGGGAGGCCACACCGCAGTACCAGCTCTTGGTGGAGGTGGAGGACAAAGGCGAGCCAAAACGGCGGGGCTACCTTCAGGTAAACGTTACTGTGCAAGACATTAATGACAATCCCCCGGTTTTTGGCAGTTCCCACTACCAGGCGGGGGTGCCTGAGGACGCGGCTGTGGGCTCTAGCGTCCTCCAGGTGGCGGCGGCGGATGCGGATGAGGGCACCAACGCTGACATTCGCTATAGGTTGCAGGACGAGGGGACTCCTTTCCAGATGGACCCCGAATCGGGACTTATCACGGTGCGAGAACCTCTGGACTTTGAGGCCCGCCGTCAGTACTCTCTTACAGTGCAGGCGATGGATCGAGGCGTGCCTTCTCTTACTGGGCGCGCCGAGGCACTGATCCAGCTGCTGGACGTGAACGACAATGACCCGGTGGTGAAGTTCCGCTACTTCCCTGCCACTTCGCGCTACGCCTCAGTTGATGAGAACGCTCAAGTGGGCACCGTGGTGGCTCTGCTCACAGTGACTGACGCAGACTCCCCCGCAGCCAACGGAAATATCTCTGTGCAAATTCTTGGGGGCAATGAGCAGCGCCACTTTGAGGTACAGAGTAGCAAAGTTCCGAATCTAAGCCTCATCAAAGTGGCCAGCGCTCTGGATCGAGAGCGCATTCCTTCTTACAACCTCACAGTTTCTGTCTCTGATAATTACGGGGCCCTCTCTGCCTCAGCGGTCCAAGCTCGCTCTTCTGTGGCAAGTCTTGTAATTTTTGTTAACGACATCAATGATCACCCTCCTGTCTTTACACAGCAAGTATGTAGAGTTAACCTGAGTGAGGAGGCACCCCCTGGAAGCTATGTGAGTGGCTTGTCTGCCACTGATGGCGACTCTGGTCTCAATGCCAATCTGCGTTACAGCATAGTCTCTGGTAATGGGCTAGGCTGGTTCTATATCAGTGAACATAGCGGCCTGGTAACCACTGGGTCAGCTGGAGGCCTCGACCGTGAACTTGCTTCTCAGATTGTACTGAATATCAGTGCGAGGGACCAGGGCGTCCACCCCAAGGTTTCCTATGCCCAGCTTGTAGTAACTCTACTGGACGTGAATGATGAGAAGCCAGTATTTAGCCAGCCAGGAGGGTATGATGTATCTGTGATTGAGAATGCCCCCACAGGTACAGAACTACTGGTGCTAGGGGCAACAGATGGAGACTTGGGTGACAATGGGACAGTACGCTTCTCCCTACAAGAGCCTGAAACTGAAAAGAGGTCCTTCCGTCTGGATCCTGTATCTGGGAGATTGAGTACTATCTCTTCTTTAGACAGAGAAGAACAAGGCTTTTATTCCCTCTTGGTCCTGGCAACAGATCTAGGTTCTCCTCCCCAGTCATCAATGACGCGCATAAATGTGACTCTCTTGGATGTGAATGACAACAGCCCTCTATTCTACCCAGTCCAATACTTTGCTCATATTCAAGAGAATGAACCTGGAGGTAGTTACATCACTACAGTGTCTGCCACTGACCCAGACTTGGGTTCCAATGGAACTGTTAAGTATAGTATATCAGCTGGGGACAGGTCTCGATTTCAAGTCAATGCTCAGAGTGGGATCATATCTACAAGAATGGCCCTGGACAGAGAAGAGAAAACAGCTTACCAGTTACAAATAGTGGCAGTTGATGGTGGCAACTTGCAATCCCCTAACCAAGCAATAGTGACCATCACTGTATTAGACACTCAAGACAACCCACCTGTATTTAGCCAGGCTGCTTACAGCTTTGTGGTTTTTGAGAATGTGGCTCTGGGATATCATGTGGGTAGTGTGTCTGCATCCACCATGGATCTTAATTCCAATATCACTTATCTCATTACCACTGGGGATCAGAAAGGTATGTTCACTATCAACCAGGTCACTGGGCAACTGACCACCGCAAGCATGATTGACAGAGAAGAGCAATCCTTTTATCAGCTGAAAGTAGTAGCCAGTGGGGGCACAGTAACTGGAGACACTATGATTAATATAACAGTTAAGGATCTGAATGACAACGCTCCCCATTTTCTTCAGGCAGTAGAGAGTGTAAATGTGGTAGAAAATTGGCAGGCAGGGCACAGCATTTATCAAGCCAAAGCTGTGGATCCTGATGAAAGTGTCAATGGCATGGTACTCTACAGCCTGAAACAAAACCACAAGAACCTGTTTGCTATCAATGAAAAGAATGGTGATATTAGTCTACTAGGGCCCCTGGATGTTCATGCTGGTTCCTATCAGATAGAGATCTTGGCATCGGATATGGGTGTTCCACAGCTGTCCTCTAGTTTTATTTTAACAGTGTATGTCCATGATGTAAATGACAACCCACCAGTATTTGATCAACTTTCCTATGAAGTCACCCTGTCTGAATCAGAACCTGTGAATTCTCGCTTCTTTCAAGTGCAAGCTTCTGATAAAGATTCAGGAGCAAATGGTGAAATTGCATACAGCATTGCTGAAGGAAATGCAGGAGATGCTTTTGGCATATTCCCAGATGGTCAGTTGTATATAAAAAGTGAACTGGACCGTGAACTTCATGACAGATATGTTTTACTGGTTGTTGCTTCTGACAGAGCAGTGGAACCCCTTAGTGCTACTGTGAATGTTACTGTAATTTTAGAAGATGTAAATGATAACAGACCTCTTTTTAATAGCACCAATTACACTTTTTACTTTGAAGAGGAGCAGAGATCTGGGTCATTTGTGGGTAAAGTGAGTGCTGTAGACAAAGATTTTGGACCAAATGGAGAAGTCAGGTATTCTTTTGAAATGGTACAGCCAGATTTTGAGTTGCATGCTGTTAGTGGGAAGATTACAAATACTCATCAGTTTGACAGGGAGTCTCTGATGAGGCGGAGAGGGACTGCAGTGTTTACTTTTACAGTTATAGCAACAGATCAGGGACTCCCTCAGCCTCTCAAGGATCAGGCCACTGTACATGTTTACATGAAGGATATAAATGATAATGCTCCCAAATTTGTCAAAGACTTTTATCAAGCTACAATATCAGAATCAGCAGTCAACCTGACTCAAGTTTTAAGAGTATCTGCCTCAGATGTTGATGAAGGTAATAATGGACTTATCCATTATTCTGTGATAAAAGGAAATGAAGAAAGACAGTTTACTATAGACAGTGCTTCTGGTCAGGTGACACTAATTGGTAAATTAGACTATGAAGCAACTTCTGCCTATTCCCTTATTATTCAAGCAGTGGATTCAGGGACAATCTCCCTCAATTCAACCTGTACCTTAAATATTGATATTTTAGATGAAAATGACAACACTCCTTCTTTCCCCAAATCAACATTATTTGTCGATGTTTTGGAAAATATGAGAATTGGTGAACTAGTGTCCTCTGTTACTGCAACTGATTCTGATTCAGGTGACAATGCTGATATACATTACAGTATTAGTGGGACTAACAACCATGGAACTTTTAGCATTAGCCCAAACACTGGGAGTATTTTTCTTGCTAAGAAACTGGACTTCGAAACACAGTCTTTGTACAAATTAAATATAACTGCAAAAGACCAAGGAAGGCCTCCTCGTTCATCTACAATGTCAGTGGTTATACACGTGAGGGATTTTAATGACAATCCTCCTAGTTTTCCTCCGGGGGATATTTTCAAATCTATTGTTGAGAACATTCCCATTGGCACATCTGTCATTTCAGTGACTGCACATGACCCTGATGCAGATATTAATGGGCAGCTATTTTATGCGATCATTCAACAGATGCCAAGAGGCAACCACTTTGGCATAGATGAAGTCAAAGGGACAATATATACTAACGCTGAAATAGATCGGGAATTTGCCAATCTCTTTGAGTTAACTGTAAAAGCCAATGATCAAGCTGTGCCTATAGAAACTAGAAGGTATGCTTTGAAAAACGTGACCATCTTGGTTACAGATCTCAATGACAATGTTCCAATGTTTATATCACAAAATGCCCTTGCTGCAGACCCTTCAGCTGTGATTGGTTCTGTTCTGACAACAATTATGGCTGCTGACCCAGATGAAGGTGCCAACGGAGAGGTGGAATACGACATCATCAATGGGGACACAGACACCTTTATTGTGGATCGTTATAGTGGAGACTTGAGAGTGGCTTCAGCGCTGGTACCTTCACAGCTGATCTATAATCTCATAGTTTCAGCAACAGACCTGGGCCCTGAAAGGAAAAAATCAACCACTGAGTTGACAGTCATTCTTCAAGGCCTTGATGGACCTGTTTTTACTCAGCCCAAATATATAACTATTTTGAAGGAAGGAGAACCCATTGGAACCAATGTAATATCAATAGAAGCAGCTAGCCCTAGAGGATCTGAAGCCCCAGTGGAGTATTATATTGTTTCAGTTCGTTGTGAAGAAAAAACTGTGGGGCGTCTCTTTACTATTGGACGACTTACTGGCATTATTCAGACTGCAGCCATTCTGGACCGGGAGCAAGGAGCATGTCTTTACCTGGTGGATGTTTATGCCATAGAAAAATCAACTGCTTTTCCCAGAACCCAGAGAGCAGAGGTAATCATTTTGCAGTCATATATGAATTATTTGCTGATGTGCCTTTTAGATGGGTTGTTTTCTATAATTGCTTACTTTTATTGTTTGGCAAAGAAAAGTGCATAAAACCATTTTGTCACAAATGCTAATGAAGAATTATATCAAATTTAGTTTAAGTCCTGGTCAAAAGCAAACAAACATTTTTCATCTCTTCGCTATGGGTCGGGCCCGACTCGATGGCACTTAACAACAACAACAACAACAACAATAATCATATGCATAAGGCTAGAGAGAAATTCTTGTCCATTTTAAGAATACAAAAAAAAAAAAAAAATTGTTTGTCATTGCTGACTAAAAAAAATTTAGTCATTGCTGAACTAAACTCTTTTCACTCATGAAGCCTATTAGAGAATGGGCAATTCAGAATTCGAGAACCCTGCTTAAAATAAAGAATGGTGATAGAAATCAGCATTGTTGTTGTGTTATGTGCCGTGGAGTAGATTCTGACTCCTAGTGACCCTGTCCAGGATTTCTGAGGCAGTAAATCTTTACGGGAACAGCAAGTTTCATCTTTCTCCCAGAACAGCTGGTAGTTTCGAACTGCTGACGCTGAGGTTAGCAGCCCGATTTGTAACCACTATGCTACCAGAAATCAGCATTACACCATAGCTTTTTGGGTGTGGGAGTGGCATTGTAGGATGGACTGACATTTTACATCAGAACAGTATTAACTTTCACATCCTCAGCAATCTTGGCAGTTTCTTTATAGACAGTGACTAATTTTAATGTGCTGAGCCAAGCTTTGGGAGATTCCTGATTTCATTTGCCTTCACATTTTAGACACTATCTTCTGTCTATGGTTAATCCTTTCTCTTCCCTTCTGATCTAAAGCAAGAAATGTGCTGTGAACTATAGAGATTAGAAACTGTTTCTTGAGACATAATTGTGTTGTACAATGCCAAGGTATAGATACATTTTGTTCTGTCTGCTGGAGCATAAGAAAGTCATGTTTCATAGCATAAGCCAAAAACATTCCAAGTTTGGCAATCCCTGGGGTATTATTTAGGGCTACTACCTTCATGTATCCTTGACATGAACTACTTCCATTGTTGTTTTGATAATCAACTTGAAATGATATAACTAATCTATGGAAAATTCATGTTTACCATTTTCTAAATCCTTACTTTCTCTCCTTCCTCACTCCCCCCAAAGACATTCTAGAGTCAGTCCCTCAGCCAAAAACACAAAATATCAAATGTGGTTTGTGATACTTGGCAGTGGCCCAGACACAACATACTGGTGAAATTGAGGCTCATGTGTTTGTTTCCTTGCTTTTTTTTCTTTTTTTTTTTTCCCCAAAAGTGGGAGGTGTTTTTCATTGAATATGGTCAGTTATCGTTACTATTTAATCCCTTGTGATTCTTTGTTTTTTTTCATAATAGTTAATTCTGTCTGATCTATGAAAGGTGCAGCATGTTCAGGGCTTAGTGAATATTATTTTAAGTGGAATGCACTTTTATATATGTAACCCTGAAGGGATTTCTAGGCCAAGTGCCTTCTTTTACCTAGTTACTGTTTTTAAGGTCTTAACTAAGTCTTATATATCAAGTTATTTGGGTTAACTTACATCATACTTTGCATGCAATTTTATTTTGATTTAGTGTCATCCTTTTTCACAGATCTATGCCCTCTTTTAACTTCCTATTGAGTTATTTCTTAGATGTAGTGATTTGATGAGTTTGAAAACAAAATAGTAATTAAAGACATACAAATAAGTCATTCTAAATTTTAGATAATTTTATTAAACTGTAAAACAGATTATATTATTTGTTGCTGTTGCTTGGTAGCATAGTAGGTCATGAATTGGGATGCTAACCATCAGGTCAGCTGTTCGAATCTACTAGTAGCTCTGTGGAAGAAAGATGAGGGCTTCTGCTCCTATAAATATTTACAGCCTCAGGAACCCTGTACAGGATCTCTGTGAGTTGGAACTTACTCAACAGCACACAACAAGCACCACCACATTTTCTTAGAACACCTTGTAGAAGGAGAATAAATGTCTATTGTTTTCATTAGATTTATTTTGTCTTGTCATGTTCTCCTTAAGCAGGAAAATATCAGCTTGGCTTAAATTTATTAAATAGTGCTCACATTACTATAGGCCCAGGGATTAAAAAAATAATAATTAAACATCATTTTGTTAGTAGTAGGGAATGATATATCTTTCATTTTTTAGCTTCAAGTTAAAATAAGGTCAAAGGAAATTAAAAGTTATTATTTGTGTTTACTTCTGTTGTGGTGTCATAGGATCAGCACTGGATTGTGAACCGTAAGTTTGGCAGTTTGAACCCTCCAGCTGCTCCCCGGAAACTCTATACAGGGTTTCTATGAGTCGGAACTGACTCGACAGCCCTTAACAACAACAACAACGATTCACTGTAGGATAAGCACGTGACTGTAATGTCAGTTTGCACTGAAAGGTTGGTGGTTCAAACCCACCAGCTGCTCTTCAGAAACCCTATAAAGGATTGGTTACTGTGACTCAGAACTCATTTGACAGCACTTAACAACAACAACAACAACTTTCATTTAAAACGAGTCATGGTATGGGGCAATAAGATAAGTACTTGACTGCTAACTACAAGATTGGCGTTTCAAACCCACCAGCCACTCCTTGAAAACCCTTATACAGGGTCACTAAGAGTCAGAACTGACTCAATAGCACTTAACAGCAACAACATTCATTTAAAAAGCTGGGAGAACTCACTATGATGATTTCCTTAAAAAAGAAAAAAACAGAAAAGTTTGTCAGGGTATCTTCTGTGAACTAAAGTGCTGAAATTTAAGCCAAGTTTGAGTTCCCAAGCTCCAACCACTCCTAAAATTAAAAGCAAATGTGTTTCTCCAAAGAATATTGAAAGCAGTAGTTGGGAGCTAGAATTTCATATTATTATTGCCTATATCTTTCAAACATATACGATAAAGTGCTCTTTTACTTCTGCCCAAACATTATTAATTTACCTTGATTCTGCCAAAAAAAAAAAGTTATAAATTACCTCCGGTTGTCAGAGGTGATTTTTTTTATTGTTTGTTTCCAAGTGCAGACTTTGCTTCATTGCATTTTTTCCCCAAATTTATTCATGTGCACTGAGAGGAATCTGGCTTGCTTACTCAGGTTTCTGACCATAGTTATGACTGATCACATTCCATGGGCAAGCACAGGGTCAGCGGATAAAACAGAAACAATTTAATATGCATTCTTTTTCTAGCTCTAACATTTGGGATGGAGGGTTGTGGACTATGATCCTGATACTGTTCATTCCAAAGATTTGTCCAATTGTATAACTTCACTTACCATACCTATTGTGTCTAAAACTTTAGCACGCATGGGAGTGTTTTTGAAGGATGATGTTTGCACAAGATTAATCAACCTTTAATTTCACCTCTTTTACTCACTTAGAAGAGGGCATGTTGTCTTGATTATGTTTGGATAGTTCAGATTAAGTCTGTACTATTTTTCTAGGTTCAACAGGCAATATAGACACAGTAGTTCAGTATGCACTTCTCTTTTAATATATGTTGAATTGTTACTGTGGAGTCAGTTCTGACTCATAACAATCCTATATAGTGTTTCTGAGGAGCGACTGGTAGATTTGAACTGCAAACCTTGCAATTAGCAGTCTAGTGCTTACCCTACAGTGCCATGCCAGGACTCCATGTGTTCTATGTTGTTGTTGTTATGTACTGTTAAGTCAGTTCCAATTCATAGCTACCCTGTATGTGGTTTCCAAGGAATGATTGGTAAGTTTGAACCACTGACCTTGCAGTTCAAACTGTTCTTGCGGTCCAGTACATTATCCTACAGCACCACACCAGGACTACATGTGCTGTATGTTGTTGTTAAGTGTGTCAAGTCGATTCTGACCCATAGCAACCCTGTGTAGGGTTTCCGAGGAGCATCTGGTGAGCTTGAACCACCAACCTTGCAGTTCAAACGGCTTTGCAGTCTGACGCATTAATCCACAGTGCCACAATAGAAACATGCAATTTAAGCACTTGGTTGGATCTGATCAAGGTCAGTAGCCTAGTACATTACCTGATGTAGGTGCTCAATACATGTTTGCTAAATGAAATGGTGGGAGACCAGAACAATGTGTGCTCTTACTCCTCAGGAATGAATCAACAAAGAAAATCTAGTGGTATTGGACAGAATTAGCTAAGATGAACTTGATTATTCCTTGATCTTTAAAAACAAGGAAAACCTTTTGACATTGAGTAGATTCAGACATATCAATGGTGTTTTCTATAGATGAACTGAGAATTGGTAGAAAGTGCAAATTGAAACTTGAGTGGTCTGACATAGAGCTTGGGGTTTAAATAGGAATAAGCAGAATATATACATTCAGGTGTTCTCCAGGGCTGTGATTCTCAGACTCTCAGACCTTTTTGAACACCAAAATCTTCAAGGAATTCAAAGAGTCTTTTCTAAGGTGAGTTTTATTTACCAAATGGAGAAAATACAAATATATATATATATACCAATTTAAATGATATTAGACCCTTACTATATCTTAATTTTATTTCAAGACATCTATTTTCTCAAAGTAGAAAATAAAAGTGAAAATAGAGACATTATTTAACATCTTGGTATAAGATATGCTTACTGTGTGATTTAATAGAAGACAGCTGAATTTTCACTCACACAAAACTTTTACACTCAGTCTATTGTGATAAATTGTTTTGGTTCACTTTTATGACATTGAATTCAGCCTTACACAGATAGAATTGGGTAAGGGAAGAATATTTTTAAATGCTTTCCAGATAGTTGTCATTTTATTTATTTATTTTTGGGGGAGCTACTTACCAGAAATTGACAAGTGGCAGTTTGTTGAGAACTTACTTGCAATATGGAAAATAAAACCATCTTTGTGAACTGTTCCTTGTCTTTTACGTAAAAATATATTGGATTATATTGCATTTTGAAACACTCTTCTACCTATGCATGATTTAGAAGCATCATG